TTAAATGTCATATAGAGTTGATTGCAAGAGGACTGTTTCATAAAAAAAATTCTCAGGCAACATTTTTTCTCTCAGGCTGCATGTGAAATCCCATCTCATTTGTCCTGACTGGCAGAGCCAAACCCCAAATGTGGCCATAGCTCCACACATAAGTGTCTGTATCCTGAAAGTATACATAACATATTGGTTTTAGCAGTTCATTGGGGCACTACAAAGCCTGGGAGTAAGTGCTACTTGAAATGCTCAGTTTACAGGATCCATTTTTTATTTTTTATTTTTTTGTAGGGGTGGGTGAGAGTGCCACTGAGTGATCAGAAATGAAATCACCTAAAGATGCAGGAGGACTGATGGAAATGTCCTCATTGGCCCTTCCGGGAATATGTAATCATGATCATACAGCAATAAAAACAAATTAAACAATGCTATTACTTGGATACACTTACAATATTGTCCAGATTTAGCAATAGATCCATATAATTATCCATAACTGCACAAATGGCTGCCAATTAACGTCACGTCCCCTCATATTTTTATATATTTTTTTCTTTAAATAAAAGGCAATGAATAAAACCTGTCCCATTGATTTTACTGAGTATTACTGATTTGCTCCTATGAGTGTGTGTAAATAGGCTTAAGAAAAAAGCCCAAAAGGTATTTTGAAGTTTTATTCTCAATTCCAAATTGAAATTCAAGTGAAATTTAAACACGTGTCAGTTTTATTGGAAACTCATGCAAAACTAAATGCAGCTAAATTCCTGAATAAAACATGTGCAATAATTTATTATGTCAGCTATCTTAAGCAATCCTTGGGTTTATCTTGACAAGTCTGACTGTGATGAAAGAACTGTCATAATTGCACACATTTTCTGTAAACGAATCATTGCACCTAATGGCTCTTAATTGTTTCTGAAATTCTTAATAGGTGCCAGACTCTGGGAATCTCTTCATTATCACAGTTGGCAATGGTGTCATTATTTTGTGAGTTAGCAGTAACAGTAAAAGGAAAGAGGTGTAGACAGTTCATGGATGAGCTCCCATGAGTCAACATTAACAGGTTCCTCAGATAAATTCTGTTAAGAAGTAATTAAT